GTGTCTTGGCTTCTCGGATCTGTTGAAACCGAGATTGCTATTCCAGTGAGAAGTTATCGAACTGCTAGTGAGATGTTCACCTACATGGAAAAGGTGTATCAACAGTCCAACATCTCACGTCAGTATCAGATAGAGATAGAGATATTTTCTTACAGCCAGGGTGAGAAGAAAATACAGGAGTATTATGCTGATTTCGTGAACTTGTGGACGGAGTATGAATTAGTTCACATGTGTGAAAACACCTCTGCATGTTGCATCAAAAATCAGAAAGAACACTTTGATAGGAGGAAAATCATGCATTTTCTGATGCATCTGAGACCTGAATATGAAATTGTAAGGTCCAACACTCTCAGTAGGGGCACTCCTCCCACACTTGACACAGTTTTGGGGGAGCTTCTCAGGGAGGAAACTAGACTCATTACTCAGTCGACCCTGAGGTTGAAATCTGATTTAGGAACAGAGACAGCCTTTCTGATGAATAAATCCAAGCCCAAGAAGGACTTGTCTCGTGTACAGTGCTATGAATGCAAGGAATACGGACATGTTGTTTCACACTGCCGGAAGAAAAATTTCTGCACCTACTGCAAACAGCATGAACATATTATTCATGAATGTCCTACCAAACCAACAAAGGGGAATGGTTCAAGCTCTAAAATGAATCAACACAAGGCTTTCGAGACAACCACTGAAGGTACAGACACAGGGAGTACAGCTTCAGCTGGAATGGATGAAAATTCTGGCTCTTACAGAAGAAAGAATGCAGCAGCTAGTATCCTCAGCTATTTCCTCTGCATTTTCAGCCATCAGTCTTTCGGGTGTGTCATCCTATTATTGTTCCTCTCCTAGCCACTTATGGATCATTGATTCCGGGGCCTCTAACCATATGATAGGGGCTCACACTGGTCAATTCATTAAACCCAAATCCTTGAATAAACATATTATTATTGCGAATGGAGAGAAAATAGATATTGTTGGTTGCAATGATTTGTCCTTAACTACATCTATTAATTCTTGTTTTCATCTGCCTAAAACTTTCTTTGTTCCTAAACTTACAACTAATTTGATCTTAATCGGTCAGCTAGTTGAGGATGGTAACATTGTTTCCTTTTTCCCATGATGGTTGTTTGATACAGGACCAGCGCACTGGGACGGTGAAAGGGAAGGAGCGTAGACTGGGTCGGCTATTTGCCTTGGAATTTGAAAAGACACCAGGGCACTCATCCACATCCTGTTTACTTACTACCACTCCTAGTACTAAGGTTACTTGCAGATATAATGTATGACACTTGTGGCATAGGCGTCTTGGGCATCCCTATGCAAATAAACTTGAGTCTTTGTTTCATGATGGTTATTTGTCTTCTAAAGCTACTTCTTTTAATAATGTTGATAAGGCTTGCATTTCTTGTTTCTTGAGTAAGAGCCATGTTTTATCCTTTCCTTCAGTTGTTGAACATGCGTCTGTTCCTTTTAAAATAATACATAGTGATGTTTGGTCATCTCCAATTGTTTCCAAATTGGGATTTAAATATTTTGTTACATTTATTGATGACTGTACTTGCTTTACATGGATATATTTCTTGAGAAGCAAATCTAAAGTTTTTTCTACCTTCAAATCCTTCCTAGAAAGAATCAAAAACCAATTTGATGCAAACATTGGGGTTTTCCATTCAGACTCGGGGGTGAATACCTTGATGGAGATTTTCAAACTTTCTTGAGAGAAAATGGAATACAATCCCAAAGATCTTGTCCTAGCACTCCACAACAAAACGGAGTGGCAGAGCGCAAGAACAAACATATCCTGAGCATAGTTCGAACTCTTCTTCATGATTCCCATGCTCCAACTTCATTTTGGGTGGAGGCGGCTAGCACTGTTGTGTACCTTATTAACATTCTTCCATCATCTGTCATGCATAATACATCTCCTTTTTAAAGTTTGTTTCACCGTTCACCTGATTTTTCTATTCTTCATGTCTTTGGTTGTGTATGATTTGTTCACCATCCCCCACATGAACGCACAAAGCTGACTCCCCAATCAGCAATGTGTGCTTTTGTGGGATATAGCCCTGATCATAAGGGCTTCCTTTGCTATGATCTGAAGTCTCGTCGATTTTGCATATCCCGCAATGTCATCTTCCTTGAGAACATGTCCTTTTTTGCTCACATTGTTAAGTTGCCTACTACTTCCATTTCGATACTACATTCTTTTGACTCTGCAGGTTCTTCAGATTTACTTTCTATTCCAGAGTTGCTCCTTGCCTATTTCAGAAAGAGGCTAGCTGCTCTAGCTCCTATTGTTCTACCCCCTTCATCACCAGAAGCTGATCCATCATTCCTAGCCACGAGTTCTCATCCTTCTCTTGATCCTTTAAGTACACCTGCACCAATCCATGATCCTCAACCATCCTCTAATCCTCATTTACGTCTCTCTTCTCGAATTTCCCATCCTCCTGACCGCTATGGTTCTCCTTCAAACCATAGCTCTTTCTCTGCTATTCTATCTACCAAAAATATTCCCACATCATACCAGAAGGCCATGGCTGTCCCACATTGGAAAGAAGCAATGAATACTGAGCTCCAAGCTCTTATGGATAATGATACTTGGGATATGGTTCCAGCCCCTCCAGATGCCTCTCTTATTGGAAGCAAGTGGGTATATTCAGTGAAACTTAAATCTAATGGGAGTCTTGATAGATACAAGGCACATTTGGTGGCACAAGGGTACAACAGGAGTATGGGATAGATTATGATGAGACATTTGCCCCTGTAGCTAAGATGACCACCATCCGTCTGTTGTTGGCTATATCTGTAATTAAACACTGGGAAATTCATCAGATGGAAGTCAAAAATGCTTTCTTGCACGGGGACCTCAAGGAAACTGTTTATATGAAGCCTCCACCAGGATAATATGATAGTTCTTCCCTGGTATGTCGACTCAAAAAGTCCTTGTATGGCCTTAAACAAGCCCCTAGGGCTTGGTTTGAGAAATTCCGTTCAGTGATCACAGATGCAGGATTCACACAAAGCTCTTCAAATTATTCATTGTTCATTTCGAGGAGTCCCCAAGGAATTACATTACTACTTCTTTATGTGAATGGCATTCTTATTACCGGTGATGACAGTCAAAGTATTTCCTCTCTGAAACAGCTACTCAATCAGTCTTTCAAGATGAAGGACCTCGGTCATCTCACTTATTTTTTGGGTCTAGAAGTTACTCACTCTCCCCATGGGTATTTTGTTAATCAACACAAGTATGCGATGGACCTTGTGAAATCTGCGAACCTGAGTGATGACGAACAGGTTGACACACCTCTTGAGATGAATATGAAATTTTCAAAAGATGATGAGGACCTCCTAGCAGATGCCACTCTTTATCGACAGCTTGTCGGTAGTCTGATCTACCTCACCATGACACGTCCAGATATCTCTTATGCGGTTCAAGTGGTCAGCCAGTTTGTTTCTTCTCCTCGACAACCGCACATGACAGCAATTCTTCACATTATCAGATACATCCGTGGAACACTTTCACATGGCATTTTCTTCCCTACATCTCCTTTGCTTAGCTTATCCACATATGCAGATGCTGATTGGGCAAGATGCCCAGACACTAAACGCTTCACTAGTGGTTGGTGTGTCTTTCTTGGTGATTCTCTTATATCCTGGAAGTGTAAGAAGCAACAGACCGTTTCCAAATCATCTACCAAGGCTGAGTATAAGCTATGTCATCCGTCTGCAGTAAGATTATATGGCTAACAGCCCTCCTTAATGATCTTGGCATCTCCTTGTCATCCCCAGTTCCTATTTATGCTGACAATGTGAGTGCTATCAAGATTGCATCCAACCCGGTCTTCCATGAGCGCACCAAACACATAGAGGTTGACTGCCACTTCATTAGAGACCAGTTTTCTGCTGGACACATATCTCTACCGCACGTGTCTTCTGCCCTACAGCTTGTTGACATATTCACAAAGGCTATACCCGTGCTCGCCACCAGATTCTAGTTGACAAACTGATGCTCGTATCTCGGCATCAGTTTGAGGGGGGTGTAGAGACTGATCAATGTCTCTTACATCTTCTTTCCTTTTTTGGCCCTTGGGACCACCCTTTTATGTTGTAACTTATGTAAACTATCTTTTGTTTTATTATTTCTTGTAAGACAAGGACATAACTGTCCTTTCCATAACATTGTATTATCTCCATATATAAGTTAAACATTTCTGGGCATGATGTTTAAGACAGAACACACCCTTTTTCACTCTCAACTCTTTCTCCTCTGTTTTGATCTGAGTTGACAATTACAATGAATTATGTTATGAGATATTCATTAGATGGTGTATAGAATTTTGTGGGGATCTAACAGTTTATTCACATTTCACTTTGTCTTGAAATTTTAATTTTCATACTACCTAATTAGAAATTCTTCTTATTCTTCATTACTCAAGGTCAATTCGTAGGGCAGTTTATGATCAAAAGGAATTAATTCATCTCGTTTGATGAATCTCTTGGAGGTGCTAAGGAAATTTCTCAACCTCATTCTTATACCCCACCCTCCAAAAAAAAAAAAAACTTTTTGGTGATGTTTGCAAGTCTTTCCCATTAGAAGCTATGAACAGCTATTTGCATGCTTATTGAAACTTTTTCCAAGTGTGTGGTGCCTTTTTTGTATCCCGTCTGTACTGTTTCAAGCCTTTTCCGATCTTGTTCACATCATTAAATAAAGACAAACTTTTGAAAAAAAAAGTTAGATAATGGAACATAGTCAACCAAAAAAGTTGTAATTCCTATGCACCATCTGTTTAAAGATAGAAATTAAGATAACCGAAAATGCTACTCCTGTGTACATCAGCTTTAGAAAATGAAATGCAAGAGTCTACTAAACATTTGGCCGGTTAAAGCTGGCTATGATAACCAAATGAAATGATAATACCATTATGACAAGCAAAAAATAAATGAGACAACTACCTGTAATTGAAATAAACATTCAGAGGATTTGCAGAACATACAGTATACGCAAGTCCAGAATGTTTGATAACTCTGGTGGAAGATATCCAGATAAGTTATTGTTGTCCAAAAGCCTAGAACATCCATATCATCAGCAACAAAATCAAGATCACAACAACACACACTTTCAAAAATATAAGAGTATTCATTATTAAAACCATAAGAGAATGTTATGATATGAATAAGAACATAAGGAATTGCTAAATTAACTCACAAGTGAAGCAGACTAGATAATTTGGAAAGCTCAGGGGGAATTTGCCCACTAAGTGAATTATTGTTCAGGTGGCTGCAAAAATATATATATAAATATATTTGTATCAGAAAATTTATTAAAGATAGTTAAAATTCTGAGCCAACTAAAAATCCACATTGAGTTTGAGAAGCCACTAACAGATGCTTTATTCTGTTTAAGTTTGAGAACGAATTTGGTATTGGTCCTGATAATTGGTTCTGGTCAACTTGGAGTCTGTCTAAGTTAGGAAGATAGCCAATCTCAGCTGGTAAAGAACCTGATATCTTGTTTCCATTCAAAAGCCTGTATATATACACAGAGAGTCCATCTCAAACAATCAAAAATCCATATAAGTTAGTACATAAACTGGGCTACAAGTGAATAAATAATCATGAATAAATGATACTGAGAAAGCATAAGTTACTGGAAAATTTCTTAACCAGTTACTACTGCAGTTTTCTCAAAGAATGGTATGTTTATAATATTAAGGATATAGAATAGACACCTCATTGCTCGGTTTGTATAATATCAAAGATATAGAATATGCACTGATAGAAACAGTTGACAAATCCCAAGGAAACGAAGCTTACCTAAAAAAACTACCAAAATAGCCACAATCTCTTGTAGCCAAAACAAACCCCAAAACGACCTCCAAAAAGAAGGAAAATGAATCCCCAAACTATGAAGCATTGACTTTCCTCCCTATGCCTACACCATCCCCAAGGTGAAAACCACAAAACTCCAAGACATTAACCCCATTGCAACTAAGCTACTGTCTCCCCTCCCTCTACTTCCCTTACGCAGATGGCACCTTTCCCTTTTCTCAAACATCCTTTGCTGTTCAATTTAGAACTAAATATTTCACTCCTTCCACTCAACCATTAATGAGATACCTTGTCCACCTCATGTCTCTGTGTGACTTATACTTCCAAGCCTTCACACCTTATTCCTTTGTTCAAGGCCAAAAAGATAGTCACCTTCTATAAAGAAAACCCTAATCTTCTTGGAAATAATAAACCTTTCAAAAAAAGCCCATGGATACAGGTAATTAAATTTGTAATTTAAAAACATACTTATTTTTATATATGAACATATCTAGCATATTATACAAATATTTACAGACATACTAAATTGTCCATAAACTTTTCTAGTACAGCATTTAGCATTACATGTATTACAAGCTATGGTTCTAATATCCCAGTTAAGAAGGTTATGAACCTATGGCAGTTTCCCCAGCCTCCTTTTCATTCATCATTGCATTCTCCAATTCATCACCAGATCATTCTTCTACTTTCAGTTTACAGAATAGAATTCACTACTTGGATCTATCACTCCACTACTATTTCTATTGATGGTAACTTTTTCAAGGACGATCATCCATTTCCCGATCTTATCCAAAACCCAATCCAGATGCTATTACTCAAACCTAACTTCATCCATGTCTGGAACAGACAGACAGAGAGAGAGAGAGAGAGAGAGAGAGAGGTTGTCCACTTCCTTCTCCCAAGCATAGGGCCACACTGGTCATGCCAAGAAACATCCTGAACTTAAAAACCATCCTTCTAACTCCAGCATCCACCTTAGCCAGTTCCACTAACAAAAAACAGAAAGACAGACAAGGAAGACCGGACTACCATAAATCTTCATAGGTGGACCACAAAGGCCCATTTGGAGCTTCAAGTCAAACTTCACCTCCAATCTGTCTATTTCCTTCTTCAGTCCAACACTTAGCCCTATTGATGCAGATAAAGAAGCAAGGAAAGGATTCATGGAGAAACAAATTAGTTTTCCAATTCCTACACCAATTTCAAAATTTTTGGGTGATAGGATATTGCTATTGTTTGAACTATTTAGTTTATTTTCTAGTTGGAGGTGTCTTAAGGATATGATTTTAATTTTTCTGGAAATTTGTTATTATTTAAAAATTACTATTTATGGTAACTACCAAACGTTTTTGTAATTAATAATTTATAGTAAACTCACGATTTTCTATCTTTACTAATTTCTGGTATCTTTACATTAACTAGTTTTAGAAGGACAAGTAAGGTGTTATTGGAGTTCTAGTTGTTTCCAAAGATATTTTTTATCCTCTCTCACCTATTTCTATTTCTGCTTGCACGAGATCTGTCTCACCTTTAGTTTCTCTCCCTCCCTCTCTATCTATCCATCTAAGTTCTTGCTCATTCTTTGGTGGATAGCAAGCTCTGTACTTGATTTTTTTTTTTCGATAAATAGATGTCTACTTAATTTTCCATCCTTAATCAACTAAAGCCATTATTCACCTAACAAAGCCCACTACCAGATCTGGAATTTGTTAGACTCCTACCCTGTCCTACATCAGTTTGTCATTAGAACCAAATGAAGAGGTACCAAACCAGATCCAGAAGCATTATAACCAAATCCAGAAGTATCATAAACTTAGCTAAAACATGGGAAATACTACAATGAAGGAAATTAATACCAAGCTTGGTGATTTTATCCATAGCCATGAAGAATAGAAGAATTGACTCCATGACCGAATTGACTGCATTGCATCTAGAGTTACATATTTGGCCAAAAAGTCACTGCAAAAGATCACAAGTTTAACACTCTAAAGTTCAAATTAGAAGCCTTTCTTATAGATAAAGGTATTATTATTGCTGAAAGCTCTTCAAATGCCACATCTAATGGAGCATCTTAGCCTACTTCTTGGACAACAAATTCTTAATCCCTTCTTCCTCCACTGCCCTCCATGTCACAAGCTATGGAGCAACAGTTTCAGCATGAAGCTACCCTTAAAATTCCTACCCTAAAGCTGCAATTCCTACCCTAAAGCTGCAATTCCTACCTTAAAATTCCTACCCTAAAGCTACCCTTAGCCTATTTGCTTGAGTTAATTCTGGTTGTTGCTAGGAGTCTCTCTCTCTCAAGTCTCAAGTTCTTGCTCATTCTTTGGTGGACAGCAAGATGTCTATTTGTTTTTCGACTCATATCCTTCATTCTTAATCAACCAAAACCCCTTCTTCACCCCACAAAGCCCATCACCAGATTTGGAATTTGTATGACCCCAACCGTGTCATACATCACCTATATAAACACTCACCAACTATATGTGTCTCAACATCCATAACTGGACTTTTCACAGCCAGGAGTGTGTCTGATGAGTAACACTGGATCATTATCATATTCACAATTGGAGTAAGTAATGATTTCAATGATAATAACCACTAAGGGATGAACCATCCCTCTCACACTGCACCTCCTTAATTTTCTCCTCAGCTTCAAACTCCATCTCTACTTGGCTCCTGATCTCCTCTAACTTTCAGCACAGACAAGATTCATTTCATCCGTTTTCTTAAATAAACTCTGAGATTCCCATTTCCAAGTATGTTAAGAACCTACCAACTTTCAAGGTTTCCCTAGCATGGGATGGTTTGCAATGCAAGTTTAAATCTGACCCAAATCCAAAAACCAAGATAACCTCCTTAGTTTCACTCTTTGCCTAGATGCAGTCCAATAGAATTGAATAAAGAACCCATCAAAATATTTTCCATGTAGCCGATTTCTTGCTTAGCACTCCCACTTGTAGGTCCCAATACTTCACTGTTAAATAACTATTAAACATGTCCAACATACACTACTTGAGTTTGGTTCTGGTTTCAATTAACAATATGCCATCTATATGAGACCTGAGATCAAATCCCACTGCCTCCAGGGTTGGGGAGTTAAGGGGATGGGGGATGGGATTTCCCCATTGTGTAGACCCATGATGCTAAAAAAATGCCATCTATACATCTGCAAGCATACTTATTGAAAGTTAATCCAAAACCCCAGGGAATTGATAAAGCCTAATCCTAACAAAAACAGATCTAAATGTTATTTTATTTTGTCCACAAAACATATAATAGAAGAATTAAATTAGAAAATAGAAAATAAAAAGTCATTTTTCAACAAGACTCATTAACTAATAATTTTGCATACTTTTTTTGTTTAAGGATTTAAGAGGAAGTAATTTTACAAATAGCAGCAACACAAACAACATGTACACCATTGGATATAATACAAGCACCTGAGCATATAACTATACCAACTATGAGATCAAAATGTTGAATCTAAATAATATGAATTCCACTTACAAGAGTTCCAAAGATGTAATATTTCCAATCTCTTTTGGTATATTGCCAGTTATTTCATTCCACATAAAATCTCTTCCAAAAGAAACCAAGAAAGGGATTAGTATTATAGAAAGGATAGTATGCAAATTTTTTAAGATAATAAGCAAGGACAATGGTATCTTCTACATATGTAATATATTGATGTCTTTGATGCTATAGGTTATTTTCAAAGTTCCACTTCTATATAAAATGTTACAACTCACAATACTTGAATATGCGATAGTTGACCAAGCTCAGGGGCTAAATATCCTGAGAGATTCATGTTTAGCAGCTGCCTATAACAAAAGGCAAAAAGAAAGTTATGGTATCATTTATAATCTACCAATATAACAACAATTAGTCAGGAAAGGAAAATTGTATTGTAATAGCAATGCTAAAGGTAGTAATAACAAAATCATATTAAGTACTAGTTTTGCATTGCAACACTTCATCTGTGAGAAGGCTACTTCCTAAACCTTCTGGTACACAATGTAATAAGATCCCAAAGGGTTGAAAAACATTAACAAATCATACAGTTCTCGTATATGCAAGTAGCCATCAATCCCAACTGTATCGAAGCACAAAACTCCTGTCCAATTCGATGTGCATGGGTCCCCCTTATTCCAATTATTAAGATGCTTCATTTGATCAATTAACCTGGTCTTAATTGTTTGCAATGCGGTAACTGCAAAACAGCAGAAATGATTACTTGAATTTCATCATGGGTGTAAATAAGAGAACATGTTAATGCTTTAATAAGTTGGATTTCTTAGGTGCTATGATATTGCCCCAGCACAAATGGGAGCAGCAGACTTTAAAATAGTAAATCATTACCATAGGCCTTATCAGGTTGCAAGTGTACAAGTTACCAAATCTCACTGGCATGATCAGGTCCAACACATCATAAAAAGCATAAGAACAAGAAAAGCAGCAATAATAATGAAAATTGGTGCTGTAATTTAACTGACACCACAAGCATGCAATTATGCAAATGTGCACACTTGGCACATGCACACACATGCATCTCTCCTGACCAAGTGACAGGAAGGCTGAGTATATCAATTTCAGGACAACCCAGGTGTCATTATGAGTGACAGCCCTAGTGCTTGTTTAGTGGTGTTATCCCTCCATTGAGCAGTAATCATGACGGTTTCTATGCTGGTTGACACTTGACAGTGCAGTTGTTAGTTAAAGTTGTGATTAGGGTTTTCAAAGTGCAGATGGTGGAATATTGCAGAATGTGATTAGGGTTCTCTCCTACATGTTTCCTCTTGCTGTGTGGATTGAACTGTCCTGCATAGGTGGTAAGTAGGCAGCTGTATTACCCTAGTAATAACAGATTTCATTTATGTGTGTTTGTTTTGTGGGATAGTGATGGAATAAGTGTGGTGGTGTTGACAGCCTTGAGTGGATAGCATTATGGCAATGACAGGAAATAGTAGTGATCAAAAGTCAAGTGTTACGATCACCCCTGATTATTTGAATGTGCAAAAAACATCCATTAAACTAAACGGTGAAAACTATGTGCCATGGGCTAAATCAGTGGAGGTTTTTCTCAAAGCCAAAGCTAAAGTGAAGCATGTAAAAATGGCAAACCTTCAGCCAAATCTCAAGGGTATAGTAAGTGGGAGAAAGAAGCAGCCAAAATCATGGCATGGTTGTAGAATGGTATGGAATCAAAAATAAGTATGAACTTTATGTTTTTAGATATAGCTAAAGAAATATGAGACCATGCTGAGAAGGTTTATTCTAGTCAGGACAACATTACAAGAGTGTATCAGATTTTTCAAGAGTACTTCAATTTACAATAAGGGAATCAAAGCCTTGAAGAGTACTATGCTAGTATGAGAAACCTCAGAAATGAAGTCAATGCTTACCAACCCTTGATTTTTTTATGTTAAACTTCAACAACAACAATAGGAGCAACTTGATGTAACTACATTCCTTTTGGGTTTGAAGCAGGAATATGAACCTGTCAAGACACGGATATCGGGTGGTTGTACTCTTCCCTCTCTTGAGGAAGTATTTGCTCGACTTTATTGGACCTATAGAGATTGCTACTACTTCTAATAGGTCTTCCCTAGCCGTGGCAAGAGGGGGAGATTGTGGTAATAGGGGTGGAGGTCATGAAGTACGAGGAGGTCGTGGGAGACCTTTATTTGGCCATGGTGGTAGTGGTAATGGAGGTCAAGATATAGGGGGAGGCTGTGGTAGAGGATGTAATGGCCCTAGAAAGTGCACATTTTGAGGAATAGATGAGCATATTGTTAATTTTTGCTATGACCTATATAGAGAGAATGGGCCGAATGGCCCATAGGCTGTTCTTATTTATTTAATTTTCTATTTCGTTTGTTAATGGGTCTTTAACTAATGGGCCTTTTATGTTTATGTTTAATTAAGTTAATATCCCAATTAAGGGCCTCTCTGTAAATACAGAAACTTTGTATATTACTTTTTAATGAAAGGATTAGGGAAGGGAGAAAGGTTTGAACAACTATTCTCCCAAAACCCTATTGCCGCCAACTTCTCTCTTGCTGCTGATATCTAATCCTTTTCATAACCTCCCCTCCTTCTTTTGGCCTGTTTTTCTTCTTGGTCATCATTTTTCATTTTTTGATCAATAACATTTCATTACTTAATCACAAAAGTAATTACAGTGAGGAAGATAAACTTTCTTATCTTCCAATTGGGGCTTAAAACTCCCAAGAACAAAAAGGAAAAAAATTACACTTGTGCCCAAAACATTGACTCCCTCTCGACTCCTTGCTTAGCTAACCCATCCACAAAAGAGTTAGCTGATCTTTTCACCCAGCTGATCTTAATTTCCATCTCTTGAGCCAGCCAACTAAATTTCCTCCTCTCATTACTATACATCCATAATCTACTATTTTCTTTATTCAGCCACCCTACCACCACATTTGAGTCCCCTTCAATGATGAGTTTTCTTATATTCATCTCCTTAGCTCTTTGAACTCCTTCCAAAACTGCAAAGATCTCAGCCCTGAGAGAGTCACCCACTCCAAATTGGGCCAGAGAACATGGCTGAAATAAACCCATTCTCATCCCTAAACACACCTCCAATCCCCAATTGTCCAGGGTTTCCCCGACTACTCCCATCAAAGTTTAGTTTTAAAAAGCCAGCCGGTGGAGGTGTCCAAGACACACACAAGATTGCTTTGGTCTGGGTGCAGTTAGC